ACTTTTGGGCGTTGCGATGTCGAACTGGTGCACGCAGTTGTGGCGCGAAACTCATTTCGAGGAAAAAATGCTAAAAGTACCATATGTTCGGGCCACTTCTGGACGTTCAACCGCGCCACATCACACTACACCATGATCGTCGTCATCATCATCATCATCATCATCAACGACAACGACAACAACAACAACAACAACAACAACAACAGCAACAACAACAACAACAACAACAACAACCAAGAACCAAGAACCAAGAACCAACAACCAACAACCAACAACCAACAACCAACAACCAACAACCAACAACCAACAACCAACAACCAACAACAACAGCAACAGCAACAGCAGCAACAACAGCAACAACAACAACAACAACCAACTACCAACTACCAACTACCAACTACCAACTACCAACTACCAACCAACTACGAACTAACTACCAACAACTACAACGACTACAACAACTACAACTACTACAACAACTACAACAAGAATTGTTACCACAGTTACAGCTAGCACTATCACTACACTACACCACACCCACAACTACAACCAACTACTGCTACAACTACAACTACAAGCACAACTACAACTACAACGCTACACTGCCACTACCACCACTACCACTACCACTACATTGCAACTACAGCTGCAACTGCGCTACAACTGCAACTGCAAAAACAACAGCTGCAACTACAACTACCACTACAATTACACCACAACGACAATTACCACAACTACAACAACTTCAACTACACTACGACCACAACTACAATTGCAACTGCAACAACTACAACCACAACTAAAATTATCACTGCAACTACAACAATTACAACTGCAATTGCAATTAGAACTACACCTACACCTACAAGTACAACTACAACTACACTACAACTACAACTACAAGTAACCTACACTAAACCACACTACACTGCACCAGGCCACAATACTGCAACCACTCCAAAAAGCACAGCTCCAACCACCTTTCTGTCCATCAGTGGATTTGCTTTGGCATCCATGCATCACAACAACTCACCCCTCCTATAGTTGCCTATCGTTGAAATGTCCGCCACCGACTGGTAACATAATGAATTTCTACCGTCAATTGAGGTGTTTAATCCCAGTGTGAAAACTCTATTTATCGAATCCTATCAATCCTACCCCCGCTATCTATTCTATCTATCCGATTCATTCTTTTCTGTCCCATCTATCTTTCCATCCAATTCATCCTATCTATCTCATCTATCCTATCTGTCCTAGTCCTATGTATCTACCTAGCGCTACCTACCTACCTACCTACCTACCTAGCTACCTAGCTACCTATAGCTACCTACCTACTTCGATCAATCCATCTCTATATTTTGTTTTTTGTCACCCTCATCTCCATCTGACACACCTCTTCCGTCCATGTTTCGGCCATCTGATCTCTCTCGCCTTTCATTACTAGAGCAATGTTTCACTCCTCCGTTTTTCATGAAATATTTGTTGATTTGCGCATTTGCCAAAGGGGCCACACGGCAGAAGTAGATCCTTCCATAGCCGGCAGAAAATCATGTCCTATATATATACCCTCTGGTTACTTAACATAGCCATGGAAAATGGCCCATTTATAGATGATTTTCCCAGTAAAACCTCCATTTTTAAGGGATTTTCCATGGCTATGTTAAATAACCAAATGGTACTGCAAGCATAAAAGTATCAAATAAACTGTTCTTACGAGGTCATCTCAAAAATTGAGATACAGGTTGGCTTTAAAAAAAAACGCTCTCACATAAACGCCGGTATAGGGATGTTTACTATATATGCTTCAAGGTATCATTCCATGGTCTCGACTTGGGCGTTGGCCCCCAATTTTTTCAGGTTGGAGTTCGAGCATCCAATAAATGCGGATGAGCGAATCGTTTTCGGATATCGAAATTTACGGGCGCCTTGAATCAAAAGATTCCGCTTCATTGCCAAATAGTTTCAAAAGTGCTGTCATGTGGCCACAACCGTCTGCGCGTTGGCCACGTGCCAAAACTCGTTCCATCGATGTTGTTTCGCAGGTCGCAAGGTTTGCTCAGATGTCATCGTCAGCACACGTCGGCGCACTGGGAAAAATGGTCCTTTGCACATGTTTACTGCAGGGTTTCCTAGATGTTTTCTGTAGACCGCTTTCTCACACGTTGGAAGTATCCCGACTATGGCGACAGGCAAAGGCTGCATGCGATTCACCAAGAAGCACAGTACCACGTGGCAAGTAGAATTTCTGGAACACGCACTTTATAATGTACTGCAGAACGATGGAAAGAAAAAGAGCTGAGACAAATTTAAGAACAAAATGGAACAAAAAAATTAAAGAAAAGAGCTGTCTTAAAATCCATGTGGAGTCAAATGGTCTTGAGAAGTGTAATGTGAAAGAGTGGAGGGGAAGAGTGCAAAGCATCTGCGTGAAAAATGTTGTGTGTGCAGAATGTTCCCTAAACTGCACCGGTTGTGAAAGCATGTTGGCAAAGAGTCATGGGAAGATGTTGCTCATGGAGTGCGTGTCACGGTCAATGTTAAAACAAAACATAGCCAGCAAAATGTTGTTCGATAGCAGCGAGAAAACGAATGCAGGAACGTGCTGTATTACATAGGCAAGCAGCCTAATGAAAGATGGTTCAAAGATGTTTTTATGCGCGATTTGAAAGCAATTCGGAAAAGTGACGACAATCGGCAAGCTGTGAAGATTCTTGAAGAGCAGAAACGTGTTTTGATGGGTCGAAATTGAAGGCCCATGGAACACATCGTATAATACAACAACATAGTACAATAAGCCACCATACAACACAAGATAGCATACTATACTATACTATACTATACCATACCATAATATTACATTATATTATACAGTACTATATTATATTATATTACATTACATTATATTATATTATATGTGTATCATATTATATTATATGTGTATTATATTATATTAGCTCATATTATATCATATTATATTATATTGTATATTATATTGTATTATACCATAAAATAGTTGGAATTAATATAGTATATTATCATAGGATATAATGGAATTGAATACAATATCATACAATATAATATAATATAATGTAATATAATGTGAAATGATATAATATAATATAATATGATATAATATAACATGATACAATATAGTATAATAAAATATATAATATAATAAAATATATAGTATAATATAATATAATATAACATAATATAATATAATATAATGTAATATAATACAATATAGTACAATATAGTACAATATAGTAAAATATAATTCAATATAATCCAATATAATATCATATCACATAATATATTACAATACGATATATTGAAATATTTATATATATATAATGTAATACGATATAAGGTAATTTAATGTAAAGTAACATAATATAATATAATATAACATGGTTTAGTATAACATAGCATATTGGAATATAATATAGTATAAGATAAGATAGGATAACGTAATGTAATGTAATGAAGCACAATGTAACATGATATAACCCATCTATGGCTAATAGCCCAGGCGTGGTAATTTGGTAACTATATCTATATTATATGGTTCTATGTATGTATATATATGTATATATATATATATGTATATATATGTATATCATGTGAATCATGTGTATATAAATATATGTACATACATATATATATATAATGTAAATATTGTATATATATATATACGCATATTGTGTGTGCGCGCGTGTGTAACCATATGTCACCCATACATGCAACCCATAGATTCCCTGTTCCCTCCCCTTTTGTTTCCGACCCTCCAAAAGATGCCAAAACCGATCGAAACAGCTTGATATGTGTAAAAACTAGACGTTGGCTTACCCATGTACGATATATCTGCGATATCCGATAAACATCCATGAACTACAATAATTATTTCAATATATGTCATATGTCATCACAATGTGTCAGTAATTCATTTCAATTTCAGAGTATAATCCGACAAGAATCGGTGAGTTACAGCTTCCAGGCCGGGACACAGCGTGATACAAACCCCTAGCGAGTCGCCATTTCGTCATGTCGATCAGCGATTTGCCCGCCATCCGCGCATGTTTTTGTCGCAAGACGCCGAGCTGTTTAGGTGATGGGATTGAAAGCTTGAAGTGCTGGAGAGATGTTGCCCAGCGCTGGCATGATTTTGTTGCAACACCATTCCACAAAATGCAGTGACCCTGACTCATTTCAGCTTGTGACCACTTCTGCAAAGGGAAGAGCAGTTACTTTGATAGGCGGGAAAGAGGCCCTGATGTTCCTCAGCGCCCCAAACGGATTCAAGTTTGCGCACCATGTACAAGGCAAGGAAGGAAAGTCAGAGGTTACAAACTGGAAAAAGAATGTATGAAAGATATATATATATGTGTGTTTATTCAATCCTGCTTTTCTTGTTGGCTGAATCGCCACGTCTCTTACATTCGCTGCTCGCTGGCGCGAAATCTCATCTTTTGTTTGTCAAACCCGCAGGGCTCTACCTTGACAACTGCGCCATCCACATACGATTTATCTCGAGGCCCGTGTACGTTGCCACTCGTAACCGTGGTTCGCTATACGGGCGACGCTGTTCTCTGGACCAAACGCCGTTTTTGCTCTGTGCTGCTCGAACCGTCCGTTTTTGCATTGTGAAACCCCAAGATGAAAAACACGAATTTGTTGCGGTGAGGTTTCGCCAAAAAAAACGGTGCATAAAAACCCTCAACGCCTGCAGGTCTTGCCATGTCCTGGAGTCCTAGGCCATGCCGCCGGAGTTGCGCGCGACGCAGCCTTTTTGTTCCTCTGCCGCCATTGGTCCTTCTGATCTCAAAGTTGGCTGCATGGTGTGCCACAAGGGTCAACAGTGTCAACAATGTCTCATCAGGATCCCCAGGTGTTTGCGGGATGGGTGGAAACCGGATCACAACTTGGTAAAGACAGAAATGCCATTTTAAGTGACTAGTGACTCACCCAGAATAATTGAAAACGTGTGGATTGGAATCCCACGATTTTGAGCTATACATTTACTTCTGCTATTGATCTCACCGCCTTGCCAACTTCTCCCTTCACCCTTCGAAACGTTGCAAGCACGCGCTGCTTGCACGGACGTGAACACGACGTCAGCGGTGCCATTAACCCGTCACCAGAAAGGTCTCTTTCGACACCTGGCAATCAATTGGTAAATCCATTGGAGATGGATGCTTGAACAGAATAACAGTGTCATTACGATTAGACTTTGATCTTAACACATCTAATATCATCTAATACAGGGACTATTACGGTAATTACGTGATTTGGAACTGATCTAGGAGCTCCAACCACCGACATCCACTGACTGTAAAACGAAAAAGAAAGGAACAAAAGATATCTAAAGAGAAAATGATTCCCAAATTTTGTGGATCAAGGAGTTAAAAATTCAACGGACGTGAAGCTCGAGACGGGCCGAAGGGTGTTGGTTGACCCATGGGCATTTTTTCATAACTTGGAGTGGGATTCCTCACCGTGGCTGAAAAACTCCCCATTGGGATTGATCCCAGAACCCCGGGACTCTGGTGGTCAAAATCCTGGGAAATCCCCAGGATTTTCCCATCATTTTCCTCCTAAGACGGAAGTGGTCTTGTGCCCTCACCTCAGCGTCGCCGGCGGCTACGGCTGCGACTCGGACTTCGCCTGCGACGGTTTGGGGATCGGGAAACAATGGGGCAATGATGAGAAAATGCTGGGAAACATATACCAAGATATAGGAAGATATGGGAAAATGATGGGAAAATGTCATCCCAAAACTATAAGGTGGTTTTTCTTCGCAAACGTCCCCTTGAACCAAATATGTGCGAAAGATGCAAAAGTTCTCGTTTTTTCGGAGGAATCATGTTCGACCGGTCCCTGGTTGGGAAAGCATGGGAAGACGATTCTGATCTTCACATGTTGGTCCATGTCATTCCACACCTGGGAAGCAACAAAACCCTGAAAACTTATCTACTGAAATTCAACTGGAAGAAATGGATAGAGTCGGATAGAGGATCAAGGCACTTTGGGAATGATTCTCCTAATCGCATCATTCCGACGTCGGAGTGAGGTCGTTATACTTGAAACAGATAACTTTGGCTGGTTTTATCCCTACTCCAATCAGGATGAATCCCTATTCATCCGAATAAATCACTATTAACTGCTATGAATCAGTCATCGTTAATCACTATGAATCCCTGCAAATACCATAAAACAAAAAAAAAAACACTATAAATCCCCAAAAAAAAATCATTGTGTTATCCCTGGAAAATGGCGATGATCTGCGAGTCCTTCGTCTTCGACTGCGGCTCCGCCTGGATGGTAAATGTCAACCCAGGAAATCGTGGATCGAATTTGTGGTAAACCCAATGCCATGAACCTACCGATGCTTGGAAAACAACTCATAAAATGGTGACGACTTGAGGTTATGACATTGGGTTTAGTACAATTTTTCACGGGGTGCCATGTTTAACATGGTATGTACATCTATAATGGTTCATTCAGTGTCGAGCCAGAAAACGGACACCAACCACCCAGAAATGGATGGTTTGCGACGGAGAATGACCAGGGGTCACAGATTGGTCCGTCTCAAAAAAAAAGTACCCAAAAAGCCCATGTTCGATCACCATGTTCCCATCAAAATTGTCACTTCCGGGTATAGCCGCTATAGCCCACTTTTGGACAAGCCCATATTTGTGATAGTGAAATCACATTTCCAACCTTGCAATCTGAAAATTGATTTTACATAGTTAAATCAGTTAAATCATGTTAAATCCGCATATTCATCCATATTCCCATCATCTTGGTGGGTGTTAATGAGAATATTCAGTTGTTTAATCCCATTATGATCATTATATATATCGTTATTGGATTTAAATGGATTTAACTATAGTGAATGAATATCATTTAAGGGAATATTTTTGTAATGTTCGTAAAGCAACAGTGTTTACCATCGCCAAAGAATCACCATTTTGATGGGATTCCAATGATCAATCCAGGATTGGGGTGTACAAACCTGGAACAGTTTGATATGACGCCATTTAAAGATGGCTTTTCCCAGCTATAAACACTATCAATTGTTAAACATGAAATAAATCCATTACTATAGATTATGATCCATTCTTCATCCATGACTTGTCCCTTCATTTGGGATGATCCCTTTTTTTCATATCCCAATCGTGGCATCGTCGAAAAAAAACATCACCGGTGTTCGCCTCCTGCGACTGCGACTCCGGTTGGAGGTGAAGATGTCTCTGCTGGTCAGATCCAAGCCACCCTGCGCCGTTGGGCGGTGCATCGGTTACCGATGGTACCGATGTTGCCCCATAAATTAAAACCAGGTGAATCGCGTCCGATGCCAACGTCGCACCTCGCTCCGATTTGGTCCTTTACCTCCGCCTTTCCCCTCCGGCGGTCCAGGTCTGGAGGAGTTTTTCCACCTCGAAAAACGGAAAGCGTCGGTCGGTTGGTGGTTCATCCACAGTGCATGGATAATGGATATATGATGCTAATATGGTTAGTATGGATATATGTGGTTGGGTATGTTTTGTATGGTGAAAAATTATTGTTGATAAGTCCTGATAAGATTCTTCGTTTTGTATGGTTATATAATAGTTATTAATAAATGCCAACAACCAAGCTTACTTGATGTGGATAATACTCCATTTGCAACTGATGTTTCTCCAATATTATAACGGTGTTATGTTTCTTACTGGGAAGCACCTCCTGGCGTAGGACTCCCGCCCTGGCTTTGTCGAGATCGCCTCTTGATGGGGATTGAGCGAAGCCCAAACAGCGGCCTTGGGCCCTACAAGTCCTTTTTCGCTTGGGGACAGCTCCTCTCTTGTAATGTATGCTGTCGTAAATCCAATCAACCATCCCAATTTCATACCAACCCTTTCAAAGGTGGTCATGATAGACATCATCTCAGTTAAATCGGGTGTGTTCCCCAATTTCATAAACCTCTACGGGGAATGTTGACTATGGCAGCCAGGGTGAATCCCACATCCCATTTTTGTCAGTGATTGACCACTAACCATTGAATGAACCATAAATTTACCCCGAAATTCACCCATTAGTTACTAACGATAGCGAAAAAAACTGCATGATAGCTGGTTGGGGGTTTTAACCATCTTGAAAAATCTGAGTTCGTCAATGGGAAGGATTATGATCCCAGATATGAAATGGAAAATAATCCAGTCATGTTTGAAACCACCAGATAAAATATGATGAACCATTCTCAACCAATCTTAATCCTTTTTTTGACCATTCATAAAGCATCAAGTTTAGCCATTGTGACCATCTTTGCGCTATCGAAAAACCGGTCAGGCGCTGGCAGGCGCTGGGCTGCCCGAACTCCCCTTTGAGGACCATGCCATCTAGCCATACCTGTGGCTGCAACGTCGGGCAACGCAACGGCAGGGGTAAAACATGTGTTCAAACGATCAACCATCATTCGATAAAACTATTGGGATGGTTAGAATACTGAGACATGACATTTGTTAGATAGATATAAATATGATATATTAATAGTTTTCCCAACACTTATGATATGATCTACAGTCATCGGTTCAACCATCTGGATAAATGTCATTTTGTTCACTGACCAGTTAGTTCCCCTGCGCCAATGCCATCGCGCCTGCCCAGCCTTCAGGGCATCCAGGGCTGCTTGTGCAAACTCCTTCGCGGATTGTGTGTGGTTCTTAATAGTTTGACGAATCACACAGTGGGTTTTCCCGTGGAAGATGAAAATCTCACCCCAAAGAGATTCATCTCACCCAAAAAAAGAGAAGAATCTGAATATGGCAGTGGGTCAAAACCTGAAAAAACCCTGGAGTGTTCACATCCAAAAAACGCTGGGATTTATGGACGTTCATCCCCCTTAAAGATGGTCTTGTAGGTATTGATCCATATCCATGAAAAAGTGTATGGCTATCCTCCATCCAACTCACTGTGCTCCCAGGCCCACCAAATCTGGCCCAGTTTTTCAGGATGAAGGATGAAGGATGATCCCGAAACATGGCCTGAAACAGCTTTTTGAAAAAGCACCTGCATCAAATGAGTGCCTGGATAGACCATAGATGCCATAGATATCCAGAGATCATGTTTCGTGATTGAAGCAACATTCCTCAGGCCACAAGTCAAGAATGTCATTGGGAATGATTAACAATGGCTGGTGTTTCTTTCTGCAACAAACGGGTGCGCAACTGGTTTAAAAAAATATCCAAAAATGTCACAGTTGACCAACTCAGCAATGCAAAAGACGTGGCTAATGTGGGAAACCCAATCATAAACCTACCATTTGGGGGATGGTTTATACCACCCATGAAAAAATGATGATTTTGGGGATATTTTGGGAATGGTTTAGCGCTTTGAGCGGACGCCGCCGTCCTGAGTCTTGTAGCGCACTATGGGATTGTCCACCCCTCTGGCTCCCATGTGACAACCAACGACCTATACCGGGCAGCGGCAACACGGCAACACGGCAACGGTAACGCGACGCATGGATGTCATGTTACCCATGGATGTCAGCCCTAGCTGGATAGGTGGATCATCAAGAAATAGCCTCTGGTAATCAAACATGGCTAGCTGGAAAATCCCCGAAGTAAACGTTTTTTCAAAATGGGAAAATCATCTACAAATTGAGGATTTTCCATTGCCACATTTGATTACCAGAGAGGAATGAGATATAGCGGAAGGGAACCAGCCAACTTCGGGGGGGAGTGGTTTGGTTTAATGTTTTCCTCGGCATGTAGACCCACAGGTTTTGGCACGCTTTAGCTACTGAAGCATCCTATTTCGCCCAGACCCAAATGGGATTGTCTGAAAATAGGGTACATCTGAATCCAAGGCTTTATCATCATATTCATATTCCCTTTTTTGAATCATCATGTTGGGGCATCCCCCATTTGAAAAGACACGCCCAAATTTGTGATTGACATTGGTTTCGCATCATCTTCCAGAAATCCGTCAGTCCTGTCCAAGCAAACAAGGTACAAACCTAATTATTGTCTCCATTAAAATTGAAATACATTGTGGTACATCTTCTGGACACATCCAACAAAACATATTCTTCGCTTATAATTTATAGTGTATCATATCCCTCAATACATCCCCCGTAAGATGGTTGGGATTTTTTTGTTTTTAGGTAAATTTAATAATGATTATGGAATAATCCCAACAAAACAAAAAAAAAAAAACATTTTTTCCCCATTTTGATCTTCATTGGCGAGGTGAAAAAAGTCCCCCATTTTCAGAGAGACCCGATTATTGAGAAAACATGATCAGTAGATATCCCCAGTTGAAATTTGGCCAGGCCACTCACCTGAAACTGACATAGCTATAGAAATCCATACAGAACTGGGTAAATGAGAAGAAAATTCACTCACCAAAAAAACTTGCGGCTATCTTGGAGATGTTTCCCAAAAAATCCTAACCATGATTATAGTGAGGGAGAACAGTGAGGTCGAGATGAAATTTACCCAGATACTTGTAAAAATCATATATATATATATTTAGGTTATATCCTAACTGCTGGAGGTTATCACCATGGGACTATATCACGCTATATCCATAATATCCATAATCGACTTATCACCATGGTTAGTAAAATCGACTCTTTGTGGATTTTCCATAGCTGTGGCATGTGAATGGGAAGCACCCTCGCAGAGCCCCACTGGCCGCGCGCCTCACCAAATTGCTCCATGACCCTTTTGAGGCTCAAACGACTCGAGGTGTCTGCGATGCCTGCGTTACGAACCATGGATGGATCTGAGCCTTGTGATGTTGTGCCCAAGGTCGTTAACTTGGGTAGTTTTGCAACAAATGGTGATTTAATGCAATCTAATGGCAAGAATGGGATTTAATGGAGTAAAAACAAACATAAACTTGGGATTCTGCTAGAAAAATCTACAGTGAAAGAGGCAAAGATCTCTGTATAGCATCTATCAATTCCCAGCAGTTCTTTTGAACATCATGGACGAGCGTGACTGGCAGATGGGAAAAAAAGAAACAAACCGCATGCTGAATGGCGTGATCAATCCCCATCGGAGCCAATATTAGGGAAATCCCCAGCTTGGAGCCGGTGGGTGAAAATGGCGATCCCCCAATAAATAGAAAGTCTTCGTTGATTTATCTATTTTGGGATATAGACATGTGATGATATATGAGGGGATTCATTGATTAATGATATATCATCCTTCATCAACAATTATTCTTTTTGTTGTGCCTATATATATATATTTGTGTGTGTATCTCCATGAATCATCCATGAAAAACCCCTATGGTTTAATGGTGAAAACTTTTTTTTTGTATTCCCATGATATCCTCATTATCACTAACGTGAAAATAGCAGCTACACTTATATTCATTATATCCCCAGGACATCCCCATGATATTCCCATAAATCTGGCCTCATGATTTCTCATCATATTCCCACTAAATCGCATTCTATTCCCATTAAATCCCAATTCAATCCCAAATAAATCCCACTCCAAGCACTTCTGCTTGTGCTCATTAATTTGATTCTTTTCCTCGAAATTTTAGCTAGTTCCAGCTTTTCTGCATAAAATCTTAAATCCCAGTGAAAAATCCCAATGAAATCCCAAATAGATCCCAAATAAATCTTAAATCCCAGAGAAAAATCCCAATGAAATCCCAGTCCGAAATCTGGAAAAACATCCCGAATAAAACATCCATTGATCTTCCCGATTAAATCTCACCATCGTTCACTTCGCCTATGATCTCCACGGCGGCGCTCATGGGTCTTCACCACCTGGACACCGCGGTTTCCAAGGGCGGAAAGTCTGGGCACTTTGACCATGGAAAAATCTGGGAAATTTCAGATCATCTCTGGGAAATTTCAGGGACTTTTCGGATTTTAAGCCTTGAAGGATGGAGAATCTTCGGATCACCATGAGAAGTGGGTTTAGTGTGGAAAACTTGAGGAAAAATTGTGTGACTTTGACGCAAGAACCTGGATTTCACGGAGGAAAAACATGGGATTCAAACTGGGCAAAATGTGAATCGCATGTAATGTATACAATATGATCAACCAAAGGTTAGGGTTTGATCAGTCAAAGACAGGTGTGCGGATGTAAAGAATATTGAGGATTGAGGATTTAAAGGAATCAATATGCCTAAGATCGAGGATTGGGTGTGTGACTAAGATCGAGAATTTTAAGAACCCGATCTGTTTGACCAGGTATTTCACTAAGATTGAGGATTTAAAGAATTCAAACACATGCACAAGTAGAATCAGCATTGGAAGCAGTAAATATAAGTTGCCAAGTAGCACAAGACTGAGATTCTCGCAACAAAGTGGGGTGAGAATCACGGTATATATCTGTATATATGTATACAGTATGTATATTGTATATATATATACATAACCAGCAAAACATAATGCACTCGAACAAAGAGTGCTCATCTGGTGGCTAAGACGTGGAAAAAAGCCACCTCCAAAGGTGGCGGTGCAGGAGAGTTCACAACCGAGGGGTTTTAGCATTGAATCAATGGGGAATTCCAGGCTCAATGGAGCTAGGAGTTTCTATAAATGGGGTAACCCCAATAGCTGGATGATTTATAATGGAAAATCCTATTCAAATGAATGATGAAGGGGTAGCACCATTTTAGGATCCCTTCATATAAGGATATAAAGCAATATTTTTGGGGGGTAGATCCTCTTGCATAGCCCTTACATAGACATAGACCTTATTGTAAGTACCTGCAATTTAGGTTCCTGAAATGGCCATTGAATATCGGAGCACCAACTTTTTGAGTATCATGTCCCAGCTTTGACAGTTCCCACAGGGGGGGCCTGCTGGTGACTCACCCGCCACCCGGCTCCGGGCCCCCTCTTGGGGCTTTTCGCGAAGGAGCCAGGGAGAACTCCAGATGTGCCCCACTAACATGTCTTCATTTGGAGCCAAGAAAAGAAGACAAAAACTAAGAGCTTTGGTGGTTCAATGGCCTCAAAAGCTACGGCTCACTGAGATTCAGAGGAAGTTTGTGCAAGTGCAGTCTGATTCGAAAAAACGACGCAATGTGTTCCGCATGTTACGTCGAAAGACAACTTCCCTTCATGCTCCTGCTAGTGCAATTGGGTCAGGAAAAAGATCTTGCTTAGTTTTCACGTCAAAATGGGAAAGTTTGTTCAAGAGGTCCTATAAAATTATAGAAAAGAATCAAAACACCCCTTCCCGCAGAGGTTTTGGCCTACTTTCAGGGTTGGGGTAGCTAGTTTTGACCCACAGCCAAGTCGGTACAGTGGTGCGCGGGTCTTTTTGGCCAATGTTCCGCAGCCACAGAGTCAGTCCATGCCGTGATTCAGCATGTTGAAAGAGAGATCTAGAGGGGTTGCCTCCGCACAGTTGCGAGCAGGCATGGAGGTTGCGGTAGAGAGTGTGTGTGTGTGTGATATGTAAACACTGGTTGATACATGTTTGTTAATACATATGTAACATGTATATATAATATTGCTATTATTATCATTATTGTTATTAATTATTATCATAGCACATGTATATTATTATATAGTATGAATGTACATGTGCAATGGCTTAAAGGTGTGATGTATATCCATCCACACAGTACCAAAACACTGGTTTGTTGAAAATAGTGTACCCCATTCCATCCTTTCATTAATCATCCCTACTAAAATGCAATAAATGGATATAAATGGGAGAAAACCCGTTTTCAGGTAGTCCAAATTCAAAAATCACCCGTGGGTCATTGGACCATGGCGCAGCGTATTGAAATCCACGGTGACTTGGGGGGATCCCCTATTTTAAAACCAAACCCCCCACCCCCAGAACCCCCATATTGAGGATTAGGGCGCTGACCAAATATAAATACGCTGAGCATGCATATATATATATATAGGTAAATCACTATATTTCACTAACCTGAATTAAGGCCATTTGGGGATGATTCTCCTTATTAACCATGATTTCCAGTGAGGTCGCAGCGAGGTCGCAGTGAGGTCGTTATAATTTACCCAGATATGTATATATATATATATTTACACGATATATCCATGATATTCCCAATAAACTAAACGTGTTTGTGGTATAATTATATCAGTTATATACCACAACGGCATCCAATCGTCACTGGCTTAGCCCCACCGAGTCAGGGTCACGCGGTCTCACGCGAGGCTCTCTAAGGGCATTTGCCTGCAGGACGGGACCTCCCGACAGGTCTGTAGATACAAATCGTGTAGATGTTCCTTTACAGATAATTGAAAAAGATGACGTATAGAAAGATAAGCTATGATAAGCTTGAACTTACCTATATGTATATATTAAATAAAATATATGTTAAATATGTATATTATATACACATATCTTTCATGTAAAGAGAGCAAAAGAGAGAGGTAAAGAAAAACAAAACCTTGCAGATTGCAGATAGATAGATAGATAGATAGATAGATAGGATAGATAGGATAGATAGGATAGATAGGATAGATAGGATAGATAGGATAGATAGGATAGATAGGATAGATAGGATAGATAGGATAGATAGGATAGATAGGATAGATAGGATAGATAGGATAGATAGGATAGATAGGATAGATAGGATAGATAGGATAGATAGGATAGATAGGATAGATAGGATAGATAGGATAGATAGGATAGATAGGATAGATAGGATAGATAGGATAGATAGGATAGATAGGATAGATAGGATAGATAGGATAGATAGGATAGATAGGATAGATAGGATAGACAGGATAGACAGGATAGACAGGATAGATAGGATAGACAGGATAGACAGGATAGATAGGATAGATAGGATAGATAGGATAGATAGGATAGATAGGATAGATAGGATAGATAGGATAGATAGGATAGATAGGATAGACAGGATAGATAGGATAGACAGGATAGACAGGATAGACAGGATAGACAGGATAGACAGGATAGGATAGATAGGATAGATAGGATAGATAGGATAGATAGGATAGATAGGATAGATAGGATAGATAGGATAGATAGGATAGATAGGATAGATAGGATAGATAGCATAGATAGGATAGATAGGATAGATAGGATAGATAGGATAGATAGGATAGATAGGATAGATAGGATAGATAGGATAGATAGGATAGATAGGATAGATAGGATAGATAGGATAGATAGGATAGATAGGGTAGATAGGATAGATAGGATAGATAGGATAGATAGGATAGATAGGATAGATCGATAGGATAGATAGGATAGATCGATAGGATAGATAGGATAGATAGGATAGATAGGATAGATAGGATAGATAGGATAGATAGGATAGATAGGATAGATAGGATAGATAGGATAGATAGGATAGATAGGATAGATAGATGGATAGGATAGATAGGATGATAGGATAGATAGATAGATAGATAGGATAGATAGGATAGATAGGATAGATAGGATAGATAGGATAGATAGGATAGATAGGATAGATAGGATAGATAGGATAGATAGGATAGTAGGATAGATAGGATAGATAGGATAGATAGGATAGATAGGATAGATAGGATAGATAGGATAGATAGGATAGATAGGATAGATAGGATAGATAAGATAGATAGGATAGATAGGATAGATGGGATAGATGGGATAGATGGGATAGATAGGATAGATAGGATAGATAGGATAGATAGGATAGATAGGATAGATAGGATAGATAGGATAGATAGGATAGATAGGATAGATAGGATAGATAGGATAGATAGGATAGCTAGGATAGCTAGGATAGCTAGGATAGCTAGGATAGCTAGGATAGCTAGGATAGCTAGGATAGCTAGGATAGCTAGGATAGCTAGGATAGCTAGGATAGCTAGGATAGCTAGGATAGCTAGGATAGCTAGGATAGCTAGGATAGCTAGGATAGATAGGATAGATAGGATAGATAGGATAGATAGGATAGATAGGATAGATAGGATAGATAGGATAGATAGGATAGATAGGATAGATAGGATAGATAGGATAGATAGGATAGATAGGATAGATAGGATAGATAGATAGATAGGATAGATAGGATAGATAGGATAGATAGGATAGATAGGATAGATAGGATAGATAGGATAGATAGGATAGATAGGATAGATAGGATAGATAGGATAGAAAGGATAGAAAGGATAGAAAGGATAGAAAGGATAGAAAGGATAGATAGGATAGATAGGATAGATAGGATAGATAGGATAGATAGGATAGATAGGATGATAGATAGATAGATAGATAGATAGATAGATAGATAGATAGATAGGTAGGTAGATAGGTAGATAGATAGGTAGGTAGATAGGTAGGTAGATAGATAGATAGATGTCCTCTTGTAACTTCCAATGACTGGGAGCTCGGAGTTCGGGATCACACGAATCATTCATGTTCAGTTCCCCAAAACTATAACTGGGAACCCTGACCCAAGGCTTCTCAAAACTGCGGACACAATTCACAGCACCAAATTCTCCCTTAAAACCATGACTCGCGCTGCCTGGAGCCACTGGTTGCAGAGCCGCTGCGGGATGCATCCTCGACGTGATCCCATGGGAAACGCACGAGTTCATGTGACACAAAGCTGAATTCCAACAGATAACAAAATATGACTACTGTAAGTGAAAAAATCACTAATATTTCTTTTACATTGCTGACATAAATCAATGGTTCTATTGGCCTTCCATGTAGATGATCAATCATAACCTTCGAATGGAGAATACCTTCGGAACACGTTGCCGAAATCTGCCGTTTTGGGGCTCCAAAATCTCGACCCATGGCATATGCCATCATCTACTGGTTGGTGGTTGAGCCTACCCCTCTGAAAAATGATGGAGTTCGTCAATTGGAATGATGATATTCCCAACTGAATGGAAAGTCATAAAATTCATGTTCCAAACCACCAACCAGTCTACCATGATTTTAGAACCGGATCTACCATATTTTTCTGCATCCTTTTGGGGAACCAAAGACGTGTGTCAAAAATCATCTCCGTATGAAAACCCTCGAAACTGGGCGAAGTTTTCGGTATCCCAACAGAGGTCACCAAGGGTGTTGCAACCGTCGGGACACCTCGGCAAGGAACCCGGGAAGGTTCACAGTTTGCTATGGAAAATGGATGAAAATGGCCCGTGGAGATATGATTTTCCCACGGAAAAAATGGTGCTTATGAAATTCAATGGCTATGTTTTGGTACCAGAGGGTTTTTCACCAAGCCATATGGCTGTCAAAACCCTGGTGCAACCTCCGTTTATCGCGCCGGGATTCACGGACGTTCGCCCAAAATACTGGGATGTTAGGTCTTGACCCAGTGCCAGTCTGCTGGGATGATCTGAGAAGAGAAAATACCATTGGATTGAATTGGTTTCAGTGATTTTTATTACAACCAAACCTCTATCTTTCATGGTAAAAGAAAAAAAAAATGTTTTCTCTAGACTCTAATGACTCTAGATGTTCGATTCAAGCAATCCAGGGCAATCTCAGCTCCCGGGCTGCCTAGCTGCCTGACCAGGGAGTCGTGCAGATTTCCAATGCTGGGACATGTGGCATGGTTCTTAACATTTCACAATCACCCCCCAAATGGTATCAAGTGGCTTTTTCATGGACTTTGTGGAGCTAAAAATTACCTAGCTGAATTCTCAACACTCCTGGTGAGCTCCATTTTTTGCATCATGAAGCCAAGGGCATGTCATAGTTGTCACTGGGGGATTTAGCAGACCATCTCAAGTTGGCCCGGCGCCGGCCAGGGTCCCAAGCTGCTGAAAGACTCCAGTGGGACCCTCCTGACAGATGGGATCTCATGGGGATATCATCGGATCTCATGGGGATAGAAAAAGGGGGAAGCTATATAGAGCTAAACCTACAGCTTTTTTTGGTTCTCCCCAAAAATCTGGGATACCCAAAAATTGACTGTTTTTCATGAACCGGGATTTTCAGGTACCCTATGTTCAGATGAAACCATTCGAGTGCGGCACAAAATTAGGCATGGACGCCAGAATTCTTCAGTTTGGTACCAAACTATCCAATTTTGTGGCTGTGCTTATTTTGAGCCACTGCCAAAATAACAAACAGGCTGGTTATTACAATGGGGATACAATTGCAAGACGGAAAAATTGGTGTCAAGTAGGGATATCACCAAAACAAGTAACAAGATCCAATACCAGGCTTACCAGAAAATAAGGTGCATGGCCATGTCACGTTACAATTCATTTGGATCCATGTGGGTGATATTCATATCAGCATATCATCCTTCTAGTTTTGGCTGCTTTTTAGCATGCTAAACACACATTACCCTCTGGTAAACTAACATAACTATGGAAAATCACCATTTTTAATTGGAAAACTCACTATAAATGGCCATGTTCAATAGCTATGTTAGTTTACCAGAGGGTAAAATCCATTCTAGAGAATCAACTTCAACCCATCTCTTGAAAAAAAGACATGGAAGATCTTCCAGTCTTGTGAGGACTCGGGATGACTCAAATTCGAAAAGTGTCGCGCTCCTTGGACATCAGCAAGTAGCGAGGGTCATCGGCAAAGTCCAGGAGAAGGCGCCTGATCAGTTTGGTCATCCAACAAAGATAGGGCTGTTCCATGGTTTTCCTATAATGTGGTTAAAACAACAATAAACCATCCCCCAAATCACCATTTTTATAGGTGGTATAAACCATTTTCCCAAATGGGTGGTTTATGACATTGTTTTACCATCATTACATCTTCCACTAGCTATTCTGGGAGAAGAACATCTACAGCATGTAGCTGAACCAATTCAGACTCCAAGCGAAAAAATCTGGGGGTAGCCACGTCAAAAGCAGTGTGTTGGATTGTCCTTGTGGCCTTATGGAAACTCCTAGCTTCGTTCCCAGCCATTCCGACCACTTGTGACTGCAACCAAGCAGCTGGGTGGCGAAGAAGAACTGGCAGAAGAAGGCCAAACTGAGCAGTGAGAGGACATAGAATGCACTTCTCTCCTTGCGGCCATGGATCCAGCATACCCCCTTGTGAAAACAACAACAAAACACTTGACTAGATCTTAAAAACTTGGTACCCAAAACAAACAACCGGATACACAAGTCTGGTTCATAGATTAGAAAGGTTCTAGGTTCCTATGTAAGTCTTGATTAAAGTCCTCAAGTGATGCCACCCTGCTCAAGAGGATAAGCCACCAACCCTCAAGGACAGCAGAAAGCCAATGGATAAAAGCTACAAGATGACTACAATCTGCCACACCAACACAGCATCTTTGGAAAATGACCATATTCACCAAGAAACTTTGACCAGATATGTGTGATTTTAATCTCCTGCAACTGGTGATGTGTTATATCAACCCCGAAAAAAGATAGAAACGTGAACTCACTAGAGTAGTAGAAAATTACTTCTCCATCTTTAAAATCTCAAGTAGTAGAGCATTCCTTTTCCATCCGATTTTGCTAAGTCCAATTCCCATCGCTCCCTTCTCCTCATCACAAGTCCCCTCTGCCGCAATCTTCAGGACCGCCTCACGGCTACCATGGCCGCGGAGCCATTGACACCGTTTGCTCGTGAAAACCACACGATGAAGCGTTGTTTAAAGCCGTCTGACTTTGCAGACTGCTGAAATTCAGGGCTGGAGAGTACCAAAAAAAAAAACAGGTTATATGTCAATTGTTGCGAATGAACCACGGATTCGTAAAAAATTCTCCATACTCCAAAGGAGAAGTTGTCGTTCCAAATCCATCTTTTTTCCCGGGTTCTTTCAGGTAGCTATATATGTATATATATATATACATATATACATATATACATTGATATACATATACATATATATAGGATGCCACCTGGCCGGTGACCATCGAAGATCAAAATCACTGGGTACTACAGGTTTTTTAAAACCATCCGATAGATTCGTTTTTTCATCAAAACATGACCACTAGCTGGGAAATGGAGCCAAAAATGGGAAATTGAGGTTCTAATCACTTGTAATCAAACGTAACATGGAGCTTCCTAGCTGGGAAATTCATCGAATTTCCAAATGGGTGGATTTCCAGCACGCCACGTTGAATTTCACCGGATGGTATACAACGTACCGTAACACCAAGGTACGAATGATGATGGTTGGCACAAAGTTGCACCAAGGCTCTAGCTTCTCCCTCCGCCAAGTCTTTTAGCCCAAAGGAATCCATCAAAACCAGTGGCATGTGGGGCAGAGATGGTCCAGCGGCCTTGTCGAATCTGAGATGCGGGGTTGGGCTGAGTTCCGAAAACTGGTAGAAATACCAAGTAACAACACAAAAACTGTGAAAAACACAGAAATTATGAGGGTTAGCGTTTCCTTAAATGGGGGATCCCCAAGTCACCATGGTTTTCAATACTAAAATGTTTTAATGACTTGGATTATTTCGGGGTACCCCCATGACAAAACGGGAACCTCTGCCACAAGCAATGCTCGAGTTGCGCCTGGCCCCCGTAGCGTGCCATGAAGGCGTTGGGGTCGTCACGGCCCAACCTCAATGGATGGTGGCACCACCAACAGACGCTTCATCCGTCAGGTTTGTCTGAAAAAAGGCGACCCCCAAAAGTTGATGCTTTATTTTAACCGTCTCTGATTAAAGAAATAATTCATATGTTTGAGATTGTTTGAGGTATCCCCGATTTTTCAGACCCAAGTCTTTCAATGACTTTGCGACACCATCATCCCACTTGGTACGGGGGATACGACCATGTTTCGGGCCAGCTATTCTCCCGCGTTCATTAGCTATGTTGCCATATTCGGAAATGGAACGCACAAATCGCACCATCACACCCCTTGGTCGGTTTATATCTCAGAGTTTTGTGGTACCGTGATTGCCCACCTTTCGATTTCTATGAGCCGGGCAGACATCACCGGTTGGCTTAGTCCCCTTGGTCCCCCGAAGGATGAAAATCTTCGAACTTTCCGTTGAAGTCCCAGTGAAAAATCGCCTATCATTGATCATCGTGGATTCTTAGCCCAAAGTATTGTCAGTTCCTTGAATGTATGTAGATATGTATAAATAGTCGTATATGCGATTATATGTTTTTATGTGCACTGGTATTTCTAATGTATATCAAGCACCAAACCTGATTTCTTTGACCAAGAAATTGATGCTTTCCCATTGATAGAACCCCTCTTTTTGAACCCGATCGATCACCTAGGTCCCCGACTCGCAATTCAACAGCAAGGGAACCTGGGTACATTGGCAAAATTTTGGGTTGACACAACAGCCTTGGAAGCACAACAGGTGCCTAGCCCAGACACATTGGGTAATGTCAATCCAAGATTCATGAATTCACCTCGCGCTGTATATTACATTATATTATACTAACATTATAGTATATTAATATTAAATAATATTATATTATATTATATTAATAGTATATCATATTATATTAATATTATATCATATTATATTACATAATATCATATTATATTATTTCATATCATATCATATCATATTATATTATATGATATTGTTTTGTATTATATTTTATTATGTTATATTATATTATAAATATTAATATTGATATTATATTATATTAATATCAAGTTACATATTGTATTATAAATTATTATATATCATATTATATTACATTATATATTGTATTATAATATATATTACATTTTGTATTATATATTATATTATATTATATTATATTACATTATATATTGCATTCTACTATATTATGTTATATTATACATTATATTATGTATTATATTATGTATTATATTATACTAAATATTATATTTTGTATATTATATTATAATATATATATATAATATACATATACGTGTATTGCATTATATATTATGTTATATCATATTATATTATATCATATTATATCATATTCTAGTATATTATATTTTATATTTTATATATTATATATTATATATCATACATTATATACTATATATTGTATACTATATATTATTTATTATATATTGTATATTATATATTATATATTATATTATAATATAATATTATATAATATTGTGTTAAATAATGTAATATCACATTATATTAAATTATATTATAGTATATTATGTTTTATTATGTTATATTGTTATATATATATATATATTGATATAGCGTCTAGTTGAGATGGCTGCCTCGGCACATCTTCGCAGTTGATTGGTGGACAGGAAATCCTATTGATCGCCCGCACCTTGAAACTTGTGACCTGGTAGAGTAGCACCATATTCATATTACCCCATATGGGTTTGTCTGAAAATAGGGTATATTCCCAATGAAATAGCCATTTAATAGGGATAATGATCAGCAAAACCATTGGGTTTAGGGGTTTTCTCTATTTTCAGACACACCCATATAGTACTAAGATAGCACCAACCATGAACCAACGGGGGATTTGGCCACCACGAACCTATGGTTTTGGGATATCCCTGTGTCCCCAACCGCTTATGACCTCGCGGAATTTTTGTCGTAGAAACGTCCAAGACGTACATGGCGAACCAGGCCAGTATTCGGGCTGCCTGCAGTTGAGGCTACAGCCACCAGTAATGAGCTTAAGCCCAATAACTAACCCAATGGTAAACCATGCCCAATTGGGCTTTACCATTGGGTATACCTCTAGGTTTTTTCGATGTTTACCAGACCCTTTTATGCTTGGTTTATGGGATGGTTCACTGGTAGTCGCTTCCCCCGTTCATATCAAACACTCCCGAGAAAGCATGATGAATGTAGGTGATAAAAAATAAAAAAAATGACTTAAGGTGGTATAAAATAAGCGGGGGATGGGATTCCACGATCTCTCATGCCATCCATTTTTACATTTGTTGTTCTCGTTTCACCTCGCTGCATTGTCTTCAAAGTTCTCAGGGCCCTGAATTTTCATGGCCAGAAAAGACAAGGGGCAAAATACATGGGGAAAAAAATGGGAAAAAATGGAGAGATTACCATATGGCTTAAAGGTATTTAAAGGTATCCTGTGGCTTTTTTAGGTACCGCATTTCACATGGTCCCTCTGTTGTTCTGGAACATCTCCCGGGCGGATCCAAACCATCGATTGGTTTTCCCGCCTCGTAGTAGTAAAAGCTCCGGAGGAAACCTTCCTCCAGGGAGGAACCCACATAGGAGAACTGTGTCTAGTTCACCGAATTTCATCCTATTTTCTTCACTAACCGATGTGGGGACGACCCAAACCAGCTGAGTTGATCAGGCTAAGAATCGGGTATCGTATTCCATCCAGTGGTTTTACCATCATGTGCACCATCAGCGCAGTATGGAGGTCTACCCCGTTTTGGGCTGGACAAAGCCATCTATTCGACTTCCGGAGAACAGTATCCAATTGGCAATCGGCTTGTTGGACACAAGGCGCCGTTTTTCTTTTTTTCCCATGCGGCCCACTACCCATGAAATTCCAATGTGGCCATGATCGAGATTGTATTACCTCATTTGGTAAGGTGAAGCCACATTTTAAGTACATTTAGTTCCGATCTTCAAGAAGATGTGTCTTAATGCCCATTTGACATGCCTGGGCAGCAATTCCAAGAATCACCATGTCATGACCTGACGCTAACATCTCATAATGTGTCCTCAGCCTTGACCACAGAAAATCGATACAAGCAGCCTGATTCAAACAACCTCAAAGACTGATCAACGGTGCGTGGGTGGTCTACTAGAGTTCAATAATCAACAAACCTGGTGTGGATTACAGATTAATCCTCACCATCTCAATCTTACACATTTAACCTCCATGATCCTTCGTTTTATCTAAATACATGGGTGAGTCGACCCTAAGGCCCTATTTAAATTGGCAAAATCATCCTTAATCACAGTTCATCACTAAAAACTTCATGGCTTTGCCCCAATTTTCTGAACACCAGTCCCCGGGTCCCCGGTCCCACCCGCCATCGCCATGTCTCCTTCATGTAGAAGGCTCCCAAGGCTCCCAGGAGGCCCCACAGCATGGCTGACAGCTCCAGCAAATCGATCCTTTGTTGTTCGTGGGTTGGTGACTTGGACTGGAAGGTCTCCAAAAATATCAGGTGGAAATGTGCGTACGCTAATATCATATCTCAACATATATATATATATATTATTATATATATATATTATAAAAAACAAGTAAATAAATTAATAAACAAACAAAAAAATGAAGATAACAAAAAAAACACAACCGACAGCCACGGGGAGCGCGTCAAGGCGGAGAAGTTGTGAACACACCACACACACGACCACGACCACGACCACGACCACCACCACCACCACCACCACCACAACCCAGAAATCCTCTGTAAAATGCTGCTCCAATCTCGGTCATCAGAAAAGAACAAGTTTAAGCGAGAAGGTGTCCACAGAGAAAACGGGCATGGCTCTCAATTACGTGTTGATTACATGCCTCGCAACACATCAACGAAAGAAAGAGCCACCTTACAATGCCAATGGTCTTATATACCTTTTAGGGTCTAGGGGTGGAGGGGGAGTGGTAGTGGTTTAGGGTCTAAGTGCGTCTCTAATCATGTGCCAAACAAGGCCAATGGTTTTACCTTTTGGCTTTTGGGGTGGGGGTTAGGGTTTATAATGTTTCTCGATGTTTCTCGTCATCTCACAAACCTGACAGCGCCCATGGTTTTACCTTTTAGGGGTTAGGGGGGTTTAGGGGGTTTGGGGTTTTGGGGTACGTCACAAGCGACGAGAAAAACCGAGTCACAAGCGACGAGATAAACAGCGTCACAAGGGGAGATTAGCCTGTTGTGTGCCTGGGAACGGGTCTATAAATGCCTTTTCCGACTGGGCCAGGGGTGTGAAAGGAAGGTTTCGGGGGTTCGCGCCCGTGTCTGTTCGGATCGATTCCATCGGTGACCACTGGCCGACAACGGCGAGGGAACCACAACTGGGGGATGCAACGGGCACCGTTAAAATGACCATCTTTGGGGGGATACCTCATTTTCAGACCATCCCCATGTAGCCCAAAACGAGGATTTATATCTTCAAGTTCAATTGATTTTTCCAGTTTACCCTCGTTCGATCTCTTAGATTTTCCCAGTTCTATGAGTTCCATGGGGAAAATGGGGACCAACTCGCCACCGTCACCTAAGTCACCTCAGTGCCGCACATGGCCATGCTCCAGTCTGAGTAGCCGCCAACGAAGATCCGCCGGTCCTGAGGTGTTTCATGTGTTGGCTGCTGTGGCTGCTGTGATATGATCATAGTAGAGGCAACAATTTTCTGCGAATGGGGATACTTTGTGAAAGATAGAGATATAGAACTCGCAGTGTAATTGTTTGGGATTTTAAGGGGTATCTCCATGTGTGTGTGTGGCTACATGCGTATCACCAGTGTGTGATTTTTTTGTTTTTTTTTCGTGGTAATCAAAATATATCATAATAATGAACACATCGTCATGAATTTCAAATCATGATATACCATCGTTTTGGATGATATCAGTGGATACGAAAAAAAATATTTCATGGGTGGACTTTACAGCCACGATGGGTAGTCCATCCCCAACGTGATGTTTTACAGGGGATGTCCATAGTGTCGTGGCGATGTCGTGGCCATATAGCTTCAATTTATGGAGGTAAAAAAAGTAGCTCAAAAAACGATGGTTTTGACCCGCCGGATTCGTTTTTTCACACTATTTTACTACAAAAACAAATATGAACCAATGTTTTTTTTTGTTGTGGGATTAATTGACAACTGAGACTTGTTACTGTAGGCAATGATTGATCGAAACTGGAGAAAGAATTGTGATTGCTGGCCATTTATACGTAACGGTATGACAACGGGAATATCTCAAATGGAAATAGTGGACATTCTCACCAGTTCAAAATTGACGATATGTGCATACTTTATGTTACCCAACTAAAATTGCTATGATATGATACATAAGCAACAACTTCTTGCTAAATATATCATTGATAGTTGTTGTTTGATGTTATATGATATTGATAGGAAATTTTCCAGCAACAACAAAAGGCGATGAAAAAATGCCGAACAGTCCATTGGGATCGTCCCAGAATTTTGCCGACATCGCGATGTGAGATTGATTCACTCAAAATTCAAATGTTTTTCTGAAATAGCATTAATATGTATATATATATATATGTGTGTAAATATAATTCATATGTGTATATATATATATATGTATACATCTGGGTAAATTACATCACGACCTCACTGTTCTACCGAAGCCTTAAAATAATCATGGGGAATCATCCCCAAATGCTAATTCAGCTTAGTGAAATATCATAATTTACCCAGATACATATATATATATATACATATATATATACTATATAATGCATATATCATATAATACTATATATATACTATACCCAGATACATAATTTACCCAAATATCTATACAATGCATATATCATATATCCCATGACATCCCCATGTCATATCCGTCGACATCGGGTCACAGCCTCAGGATGATGCAGCAGAAAGAGGCCATGCAAAGCGCATCCTCGGCAGATCGATCGGCAGGACGTGCCGAAGACAATGGTTTTTTTAGACATCGGTTTTTGGTGTTGTTAGTTTATGTCATCCGAATGATTTCCCGCTCCCAATAGAATTTGGATGAATTTGAAATGGAGGAATTCGAGCAACAAACTTGGGGATATTCAGCTACAATGGAGAAACAGCCGATTTCCGAAATGGCGGGCCAGAAAGAACCAGTTCTTTCTCGAGTTAAACGTCTCGTTCAACATACCCTCTGGTAATTTAACAGTTTGCTATTGAAAATGACCACAGAAATAGTTGGTTTTCCCATTAAAAATGGTGATTTTCCCATTAAAAATGGTGATTTTCCCATTAAAAATTGTGATTTTCCCATTAAAAATAGTGATTTTCCCATTAAAAATGGTGATTTTCCATTCGTTTGTTGTATGTTTACCAGAGGGTAAGCCATGCTTTCCAATCGAACCAATCATCCCGTCGTCGACCATGGCGAGGATCCGAGACCGCCCAGGAAGACCGCGCTGCGCACGGGGATGCCTCGGTCCAGTCCCGGGAATTCGGGAAGTGAACGCCGCTTGCTTCGTCAAAAAGGTGGATTTCATGTGGTTATTTAACATCTTGAAAGCGGGATATATACATATATACATATATTATATATATATAGAATATATATATATACATACTAATACACATACTGTATATACGGTATATATTGCAGAAATCCCCGAAGTCCCGAACTGCGGCGCCCAACACATAAAGGCCATGGGCTGTGCTCCCACCCAGCCATTGGCTTCCAGTAACTTCGAAGGCGACGAAGCCGACCTCGCGTCGATTCATCATGGTTCCCAATAGATGATCAACTGAAGCTCCATTTTCTGTTGGCTTTTCTATACTTGTTTGGTAAACGTTTACATAACTATGGGAAAATCACCATTTTTAATGGCTGAAATCCACTATTTCTATGACCATTTGCAAGTTCGCAAACTGTTAGTCATTACCAGAGAGTACAGCCCATTAAAATCACCATGTTTGTTGGTTCAATCCCATTAAACCACCATGAAAAACCAGTATTAAATTACCAGAGGGTATATCTAATCATCTAATCATAAATAGTCCAATTTATAGTGGATTTACCCAATTTATAGTTTGGTAAACTGTAAAACTCATCAGTTGAAAGAATCGATAAAACAACATTTTTGAGGTGCCGTACTTGGTGGGTGCAGTTCCACTGAATATTCATGGATCTTTTTTACCATACTCATAGGCATTGTAGGGTTGCTATACATATACTGTATATATATAAATATATACATAGATACATATATATATATAAATATATATATAAATATATATATATATATTTATACATAGACATAGAATATCAGGCATTCTAGGGGGTGCCGTATATGTTATATAGAAATACCCAGCTTGCGATTTCTACCCAGTCCCGAATCCCACTGAGGATCCGACATCGGCAATCCTCACCTGGTGGGGAAAAAATGGGAACCTGTGGATAGCAACCCATGACGGATCCGGCTGGTGCTGGTATATTCATGCTCACATAAAGGGGGTATATTGATGGGATCCATGGCACACCATATATATGCTAACATTGGGGGTATATTATATTGATGGTAAATCTTACCATATATATATAATATTATATATATATAGCAGCACCATGGATCCTATGGGCAATGGAATGTCAACCATCGGATCTTCGTTTGATTCATTTCAACCATGGGATGCAATGGGCTAAAGATGATATTGACCCAGCTCTGTTCCGGTTTCGGGGCCGACTCCCAGAGATTGAAACCCAACAGGTACTGCCGTTGGGAACAAACCGACCTGGACTTTCAAACCCATTGCTTTCGCTAGTGAAACAGACAAAAACATCACCTTGCAGCTACCGAGTGAAGTGCGCCTGCGTTCCAAACAGTTTTGCATTCTTCATGGAAATTAAATCAGGGAAACCAAACAAGTGACACACCACTAGTAGAAATTGTACCCTACCCCCATATGCAATACACACAATACACTAGGGGGTTATCTATTCTGCATCAGCATGTTACCCCTTTGTTCATATCTGGCTTCGGGTGAAATTTGAAGGCCGATTTAAGGGCAAGAAAAGTTGCAGTAGGTCCTGACTCACTGTTGACCCAGACCCTTTTCACCACCAGATTCGAAACAAATTAAGATTCTCAAAGCTAAAACAATCCTATGTTGATTTGGTTTCCCCAACGCAGTTTGGGTTTGTCCTTAACATGGGCATTAAGAGAAAAAAAACATAATCAATGGCAACTTTCATGGGAACAATGATGATCAACCGGTTAATCTTGGCTTCTTACCATCTTCAAACAGACCCCAAGTTTTTGTATATGGCAGAAATCTCATGAGAGTAAGCCACACTCTTTATCATCCAAAACATCATCATGGCACAAGATTTTAACATATTCATTGGGATATGTCGTCATGATAAGAAATACCATCCATAATTACATCCCAACTTGTGGATGCAAAAATTGCCATGGAGATCATGGAGTCCCTCCTTGCCCTGGCTTTCGCGTGGACCCACCTCCCACGGGTCCCACACTTCATTCAGGATCCCTTCGGATCACTGGCCGGCGCGGCCGGATCCGGACTGAGCCGAAGAGGAAGCAGAGCAAAAGCCTCAAAAAAAATACCTCGGTGGTATCCCCAACAGCAGCAGCAGCACTGATCCGGGGCACTCCATTTTCAGACCAAAAAAACATGGGAAAAAAGTCCTCAGTTTGGGACGGCTGGACACCACTTTTTCAGTGGTCACCCTCCATGTGATGTGATGTTGTTAAAATATATTGAAATATCCCATTTGATAGCTGTGAGAAATAACCAATAGGAAAGGGACATCTATGACTATGACTCACCATTCCTAATCTCATTGATGGATAAGTTCGTAAAATAATCTATAGTCAATATATATATATATGTATATATATATGTGTATATATATATACATATATGTGTATATATATATACAATTTTGGATCATCTATAATCTATCGAAACTGTGATCAATCCCAAACCCAGATAATCTTCGGGACACTCGGCAGATTGCCGTTGCACCAGGGTTTTCCGTTCAAAGTGTAGCCCCTTTCGGCACGAAACGCGGGTCCAAATGGACCATCGGATACCATCAGCTCAGCTTGGCGCGGGGATCAAGCTGGTGAAGCACTCACCATCAATAGAGCGTTCTATGCGTTAAAACCTCGTGATGATCTGCTTTCTATGCTGGTCACCTGGTCGGTTCTGATACCTTCTTGCTGTCTCTCACCTACCCGTACTCAGGAGACATATCCACATGTTTCGCAAGGTCCTGAACGTCTTTTTTCCAGTTACCCTCTGGAAATTCAACGTCTCCATATGATCCATGGAAAATGACCCAGTAGCTTGTTGTGGCCACTTGTTCGCCATTTTCCATGGCAAACTTTTGAGATTACCATCCCCGTTTCGTGAAACCTGGTGCTGATGCTACTCTGGAACTGGTGTCAAGAGTGCATCCCCTGGAGGACTTGGCGGAATCATGTCAATGGCCATGTCAATGGCGGAACCGATAGAAATTGGAGGTACCTACCTTATATAAGGTCTATTTTTTAGGGTTAAATTTCAGGGTTCATAAGTTGATCCACTTGAAAGTAACCCCGTGAGTTGATACGGAAAATCCATGAGATCAAGAGAAACTCCTCCGGGGCACGAACTCCTCAGTTTTTCTACAGTCATTGTCAATTGGGCGTGTCTGAAAATGGGGACCGTCAAATGGGGAAAATCATGATTCATGACTAATCACTAGGTTTCGGAGTACGATATTTTCAGACAAACCCCATGTGCGGCAGTTATATACACCCCTCACAGCATTCGACACAGCGCCGGCAGTAAGCTTTGTTGCGCCGGGGCGTACACCTGTGGGTATCTCTGAGGGACCCCAAAGGCTATCAACTATAACTGGTTGGTGATATACCTACCCTCTGAAAAATCATGGAGTTCGTCAGTTGGGATGATGACATTCCCAATTCCCAATATATATGGAAAATAAAATTCCATGGTTCCAAACCAGCAACCAGATCAATAAACATGTTCAGTCAGGAGTCAGGAGAGGCAGAGTCATGCAAATTTTAATCCAAACACATGTCAATTGATGCCTCACCAAAAAACGAACACCAAAACACTGGACAAAAATGGATCATTCCTCTCCAGAACATTCCATGAACTATGACCTGTGTTGATCATTTCACACCCAAATACCAAAAAAAATGGTTGCAGAAATCCCATCCTATCCGTATTATATCCCAACTATATCCCATTAGACCCCAGAATATCCCCACATTCTGCACCCATAGAATTACTGGTCATATCTATCCCATTCATCGTGTTCCTGTGAATGGGTTATGTATTTTCCATTACAATCCCATGCCGACATGTGTTTCTGCATATAATATATATATATACATACATATCCCCCATCACCACACCATATATCGCTGGAAAACCACCATTTAGATGATCCCAGCGAATTAACCTCCAAATACGAAGATGTTCCCATGATGTTAACATGATGTTCCCTTGATGTTCCCATGGTTTTCCCATGATTTTCTCATGATGTTCCCATGATTTTCTCATGATGTTAACATGATGTTCCCATGGTTTCCCATGATCTTCTCATGATGTTAACATGATGTTTCCATGATGTTCCCATGATCTTCCCATGATTTTCCCATGATGTTAACAGTTGGTGAAGTGCCCTTCCAAACTCCTCGCGCCTTGGTGCCAAGCTGTGCCGCTTGGGCCGCCTTTTCGGCGCGCAGATGGGCGGTGAGCGCCTGAAAAACATCCGCCAAGGGCATAGATGGTACATTAATATCAGCATATACAGGATGGTGCCCCCCAGTTATAAGTTGGTTTATAACCCCCATTAACTATAGTTATATCTGCCATAAACCATAGTTATGGGAGTTATAAACCAACTTAGCTAACTATGGGGCACCACCTTGTATGGATAATAAATGGATGATTAATGGATGATCAATGGATTCATTATGGTAAAGAAAATGATAATAAAATATCAGTGAATATAACGGATTGATGATGGATAATCAGCGCATATGTGGATGATACTTGAAATAGT